TGTGTGGGGAGGGGGGGGGGGGGGGGCTCTGCCATGAGGAAGTTCGGCTTAAAGACATGTCCCAGGGGCGTTTCTGGTCCCAAAAGGTGTTTCTGGTCCCCACCTGTTGTTTTGCTCCTCAGCATGGCTTTCTAAAATACTGCAGGATTTCTCAAACATGCATGAATGGGTCAGAGAAAGGCTTTGGGCATATTTTTATGAGAGTATAACATTATAACATGATATAAAACTCCAAAAAGTTGATTTTACATGATATTGCCCCTTTAAAGAGTTCCCCTTCGACGTCACCTCTTGTTTCACTTTTGCTGAAGAGTTCAAAATAAAATATGCCAGTTATATGACAAAATGGGTAAAATCATGTGTTTTATGCCAAGCTCCTTACATATAACAATGTATTCTTTAACTTCTTGTATTTGAAGAATAAACATGTCACAGGCACTTTAAACTGACAAGAACAAGTTCACCTCAAGGGAGGGGAGCCGTCTCACCTCAGGCCGATGCACATTGATCTCATGGCTGCCCCGCAGCCTGCCCCCATGGGGTTATATGCAACTCTGTAGCCCCCTTTCAATCCAGGTCTCAGTTGAGAAACAGCTGAAAGAGCAAACTACATTTCTAGTTGTACTTTTGCAAAGGGCAGACGTGATATAAATTCCCAACGCGAACTCACCCACACAGGTCGTTTGGCCTGGTTGCCTCCCAGCCATGTCTTTCATYCCCTCCACGTATCGAGCAGCCACCTCATGAAGGAGATCCTCCTCTGGTTTGTCTGTGAAGGATTCAACACTTTGTCCAGACYTTAAAGATGACATTAATCTGTGTGCAAACCCTGTCTTTGCCTTCTCACAGTAAAGGTCGGGCTGAATTTCCATCTTTTCTATACAGCCCTAATAGAGCACCAAATCAAGAAAAGAGTGGAAATTAGATTTAACCTTTTAGCTGGCGTTCTTGAAAAGGACGGCGTGACGTTTTGTGTCCTGATGAGGTCTGATTTATCCAATCAATTTCTTATTTAAAGCAAAACAGCAACACAAACCATACAACGTTGTGGTGGGATTTTAACCTCACCAGTTGCCAGGCCCTCGGCTGTTGCCAGATGCAGAACAGTGTCRTCGCTCACAGGCCAATCGGGAAGCTGAACCTTGATGTTCTTCAAGCCGCCGAGCTCCTGCAGCTCCTACAGGGTCAGGAGAGGACCGAGGGTTTAGGCACCAGTCTTTTACTCAATATTTACTTTTGATCATTTTGTTCCAGCACTGACCTTGTGAATGGCTGGTCCAGACCTACAGAACTCCCACTGAGCGTTCTTATAGCCCAGAGCATCACCAGCACCACTCAGCACCATGGCTGCCTTATAATGCTCCACAGTAACACGACTGGAGGCAGAAAGAGATTATTAGCTGTTAGCTTCTTCTGCTATTATAGCATAAGACCAAATCTAATTAATAAAACAACTCCAACATCAAATGTTTTATGGCAATTCATGTGAGCACGTTTTTCTAAACATTTAGGCATCTAATAAATTATAATTACACAATAATTAGACTAAAACCAGATTTATACTCTGTAAGAAGTGAAGAAATATGTTCTCTCTGACACAGTTTTGGGTCCAAAATGACATGTTTTTTTTCTTCTTGAGAGCCATTTCTCAAAACAAATTTTTTTCTCCCAGGGTTGCATCTACTGTGTGATTGACCAGAAATGTAAAGTGCTCGCAGGTAATGCGACCGCAGTATTCCCAGAAATGCTCTGAAAACAGGGCGGCTGCAGTCACACATTAGCTGCTGGCATCCAATATTTGCAGCGTGACCCATAAGCTCTCCTGGGCAGAGGCTGACATGCTGTGGACTAGGGGTGCAACAATACATGTACCCGTATCGAACCGTATCGAACAGTGCTTTAGGTTCAATACACACTTGTCTCGAACAATACAGATTTTTAAAATTTACTTTATCAACTTGTCTTCTGAAGATGCTCTGTGTTAAAGGATCAGTGGATCTGTGTTCAACTACTCCACCTAGGCTGCATTTTTGAGTGCAGATCCACTGAGAAACTTGCTGTTTCAGCAACATTTAATTTAAAAACTGTACTTTTGAGGTTAAACAAATGTTCATAATTAATTTTAACAAATTACAAGTTCAAATGAGCATGGAAATATCTCTTTTTGTATTGAAAAAATATCGAACAGTGAGACTAAAGTATCGCACCGAACCGAATCGTGAATTTTCTGTATTGTTGCACCCCTAATATAT